TTTATTAATTTATAGCTCCTATCTGTTTAAAAGCATGCAGAAGTAAATTAGTAATGCAATTTTATTTTTTAAGATTGCTTATGCAGTTGCTCTGACTCTATTGAAAAAGCAGGTCCTTTCACTTGTATGTTCCATATAAGCAGCCCAAGGTGCATCAGGAGAAAGCTGCAAACACCTCTGTCTGTCAGTTATTCCGGACTTAAATGTTAAACTCCTGTGTTATTCCAAGCTAAGAATTCAACAGAGAGGAAAGGTTTATAGGATTGAAGAAAACAGAGACTACCTTGATAGGAATATATATGTATCTATGCATTAGGAACTGGTTCTAAACAATTTTTTTTTTCAAAAGGATTGTTTTCATTACATTGAATTCCCATATTCAGTTTTGCAGTTTCACACAATTTTCCATTTAAGGGTTTTAAAACACCTTCCAGCTACTACTGCAATAACTCCATACTTCTGTGAAGAAGAGAGAAATTATTCTCATGTGTTTTAGACTGATTCAGCACTGCTTGTAATAGGAGCAGGTTTCATCTTGATCATTGTCTCTGGGAGCAGAGATTGCTCATGTATACAACCTATTTATGGAAAAGTTTATGTCTAGAGACTGCTACAAAGGAGACAAGAGTGATCTTAGCCCACTAAAGAATAGAGAAGGAATTTAGTGTGCAACAAAGATACAAAGAAGTACAGAAAGGAAACATTTGCATAGAAAAAAAGTGTAACTGGAATATTAAAATCACCATTGTTCCAGAACTCAGAGGAGATTCACAAGAAGTTATCAATATATATCAACACTGCAAAAGCAAACGTTGGAATTGTGAAAATGTGAAATCGTGAAGACAATTTGATGTTCTGCTTTTTGATTAGAAAAAAAAAATCATTTTTCATACTATGGATATTGTCTTTACCTGTGTCATAAAACAAACTCTGTAATTCAGTTGTCACTATTGTGAGTATCATACTTATCAGGACATTTACGCTGAGCACCTGTTTTTCACACAGAGATATTCAGCCCTAGAGGAGTGAATAGGACTGAGCTGAGGAATTAGTGGATGGTGTAATTGCTTCTCATTAGCACTGCCCAGTTTTGCAAAAGTTCTACACTGACCAAGCTGTAACTCCACTTCTATTAAGTCTTCAACTTCATCCAGCCTAGAAGCGGTTGTAATGCTAGCATTACAGAAAAATAAGCCCAGTAAGTTTCAGCTGCTACAGCCTGTTTATCAGACTGTTTCTATCACAGCTATATTCTGTGGTATTTACTAAATTCTTTCTAGGGAAAATTAAGAGCTGGATTTCACTTCAGTACCTCAATCAACTTGCTGCGAAGCAATTTGGATCAGTAGACTCCCTAGTAAATCAACAGGCAGTAAGTCAAGTAAATTTTCTTGTAAGGGTCCATCACTGCTTCTTGCTGGAGAAAGCAGGAAAATTCACATGCTCTGCAAAGTCATCAAATACTGGATTTGCTGATTTCCAAGGATTTCCACTGCCCCTATGGACTGTCCTCGGATTTGGGGCAAGAACCTTCTCTACCTTTCCTGTTGAACCTGTGCCACTGTGCAATGAAGTATATAGTGGGGCCAGAAAAGGGAAATACAAGCATAAGTAAGAGTCGTTTATGACTCACATGTGAAGGACAAAGCGTGAGGGTCTGGGAACCCTAAATTCTGGTTCTTATTGCATAAATATTTCTGTGTTTTGCTCCCTCCCATGAAGCTATTATTGGGTAAGCAGCCTGTGACGCAGGGTGCTAATCCTGCTCACAGCTGAAACCTCTCTCTGTTGGCACTCGTCTCAAAAATTTGTTCTCTTTTTCTCAGGGCCCTACAACATTCTTATCTAAGCTGTCTCTAGCTTTCTTCTTCATCTGTTTTTGTACTGCTTCTATTGCTTCTTTGTTCCCACACATGCAAAGACACATTAGGTCCAATGAATTCTTTGTGCCTTGAGCGCACCGCACATCAGTGCAGCACAAGACTCGTAAGGCTGGCATGTCTGGGAAATATTGAGCCTCCTGTGCATGCAATCCGATGTCTGGGATTTCCATGCTGGCTGTGTTCACAAGTCCTGGAAAAATACCTACATATTTTGCACACACCAGCTCCTTTTTCAACTCGAAGTTTGTAATACACTGTAATTAGATCACTTTGCATCTTTCGATAAGCTAAGCAAGTTGAATTTCAGTCTTTCATCACATATTATATTGTGCAGCATCATTTCTAGCACTGAAATCGCTTTTAAAATTCCCGTCTGCAGGATCTCAGATTTGTGAATAGCTTTTTAAAAATACATCCGCAAGAACTGCATGCCTCATTCTAAAATCCATCTTGGCAAAGCTACACACAGAAGGTAACACCCCATCACACGCCTCATCGGTAAGAGACATGACCAAAAGGCAGTGTTTCCAGATCATAGGAAACATTATGTTTTTACAAACTGTTCTCATCCAAATCGCAGTGTTGTTTGGGTTGCTTTTTTTTTTTTTGGTGGAAACTTCTGGTGAATTAAAAGTATTCTGACCCCTGCAGGTGCTTGGGGAGACTGACGCTAGTGGGCTGAGGCTGAGGAAGGGATTTTTGAGGAAACAGTGAAAATTTTCCAGCATTTTACAAAAGTTCTTGCTCAGTGCACTGATACAGCCATTGATACAACACCGCCAGTCTGCCATAACATTCAGTCCGAGTGTAATATGACCTTCAGAGCTCTCCTGACTAAATACTTTCCAGAACACAACGGTGTACCACGCTTTGTTTGTTGTCAAATGCATGTGTTGTTCATACCAAAACGCAGTACCTTTATGAGATCAGCTTATCTTTTATTTCCCAAATCTGTTCAAAAATATAGCACAGTTCAAATACTGCTGCCCAGTAGATGGCTGCTTCTCGTTGTCCATTACTTTTTGAGATATGTCAGCTAAATAGCCCTAATCCATGTAATGTATGCTGTTTCGATAGTGTTTCATCACAGTAATGATGTACTAAAAAGCACAGACCAAGACAAATGTCTTGTGAACTACTGGGGCTAATTAAAACATTTGTAGCTCTGCAAAAATAAACTTTTACAACTTAGTTCAAATTCTGAATTGATCAGGGTAAAGACAGCTACTCTGATACAAAGAAAACATTATTTTTAATATAGAAGGCAAACATAGGAAATGCTTTATTTTCCAGCACTACATTGCACTACTGTTTCCATCAGTAGTGGGCCTATGCTGGTAGCAGGGAACCTTGATAGAAGAGGACTAGAATACATGTCAGTCAATCACAGTGCTTTTTACACAGGAAAAAGAGGCATCACTGCTGACAGAGCTTCACACTAGTGCTTCTTCTTTACCGGTAGCCTGTCCGTTATGTTGCCCTCCCAGAGCAGGTCTCCAGTTGACATCAGAACTGGCTCTTCTGAGAAACTGGATGAGTGTTTGGAACTAGAGAAACCATCCATACCTTGGCACCCTTCTTAATAACCTATATTAAGTTTCCAGAACCTCTCTCCTTAAATTCCCCACATCATTGGCACCAGCATGCACAACTGAAGACTTTCCAGGCTCAGCATTGTGCAGCTGACATAATCCCACCTGCTGAGTAAATTACTTCATTCTCTAAATCTCCACAACATCATACACAGATTCTGATAGCAGAATAAGTTAATCCCACAGCCTTCTCGGTACCCATGCGAACAAAATTGAAGCAGAGCAGATGACCTTTCTCCTCGGGCGCTGCTGAGAGCCCGCTTTGGGGGAAGGCAGCTCCAGAGCTCTGCAAGCGGGCTGTTCGCCCGTAGGCACCTCCGCTCGTTCTGCAGCCCCTCGGGACGCTCCTCCGGCCCGGCCCGCAGCGCAGCACAGCGCTGGGCGCGCTGCCTCCTGCCGGCCCTTCCGAGCCGAACCGCCTCATCGGGCAGCGCCGGGCCCCGGACCCTCCGCCGGGCCCAAGGCGGCAGCGCCGCCGCAAACGCAGCTCTCGTAGCGGCCGCCGCCTTCCTTCCCCGCGAGCGCGTCTCAGGGCCCGAGCCGCGCAGCGGACTGAGCCAGCTTGTTTACCGGGGCGCGGCCCGAGCCGCGAGGAGCGGCCGCAAGGGAAGTTAGAGGAGCGGGCCGGGCTCCGGGGACGGGACGGGTTGGGAGGCGCTCGCCCTCCGCAGCGCAGGGGCCGAGCGGGAAAGGAGGCGCTCCCCGTCCCAGCGCCCCGCTCCTTCGGGGCACGGGCGGAGGAAGAGGAGGAGGCTCTCGCGGCCCCGAGTCCCCTTCGCGGCTCCCCCACCGTGGCTGCGCCCACCGCGGGGCCCGCGCCCACTGTGCCCCGTGTCCCTCGGAAGCGCGCACTCCCCTCCGGCCGCCGCCGGCTCGCGCCTGGATTCTGGCGCACCCGCCTCGATCAGCTCCGAGCCCGGAGCTCCAGGCGGGGGAGGGGAGGGGCGAAAGGGAGGGGGCGGCCGCCGCCGCCGTGGGGCCCAGGCCGCTCCTCGCCTTTGCTGCGTCTCTCCCCGGCCCCGGCATCTGGGGCGGCGGGAGGAGCGGGCGGAGCCGGCCGAGGCGGCAGCCAATGAGGAGGCGCGAGCCGGCGGGTAGGGCGGGGCGAGAGCGATCACCGCCCAATGGGGGAAGGGCGGAGGACGCACTCGGAGCGGGGCGAGCCGCAGGCAGGAGGCGAGTCGGGACTCGGGCTGCGAGCGGGGCACAGGCACCGCCGCACCCAGGGGCTCGCAGCCGCTCGCGCGCGATTGCCGCTCCTCTGGCGTGGACGGGGCCGGCAGCCGGCGGGCGAGGAACGCACGGACCGACGGACGCCGCTTCCCGCGGGGGACAGCGGGCGGAGCCGCCGCCGCCGCCCGGAGCAGAAGTTTGGCTGGAGCGGCCGCTGCCGAGAGAGGAAACTTTCCTCGGGGGGCCGGAGGCGGGGGCGGCGGGAAGGAGCCGCCGCTCGGCGGCTTTTCGCGGCGCGCTCGGGGGCTCCGGCGCGGCTCCCCCCGGCGCGGGCCGGGAGGCGGCGGCCGGGATGTACCTGGCAGCGGTCTCGGCGGGGAGGAGGCGGCCGGGCGGAGACGGCGGCGGAGGTGGCGGCGGCTGGCACCTGGCGGCGGCGGGGTGGCTGCTGCTGCTGGCGCTTCTGCTGGGCCAGCCGGGGACGCGGGCGCTCGTCTGCCTGCCCTGCGACGAGTCCAAGTGCGAGGAACCCAAGAGCTGCCCCGGCAGCATCGTGCTGGGCATCTGCGGCTGTTGCTTCATGTGCGCCCGTCAGCGCAACGAGAGCTGCGGGGGCGTCTACGGGCTGCACGGCGCCTGCGACCGGGGGCTGCGCTGTGTCATCCGCCCGCCGCTCAACGGCGACTCCATCACCGAGTACGAAGTGGGCGTCTGTGAAGGTAAGGGGCGGCCGGACGCTGCCCTCCGAGCGCCGCATTCTCTCCCTCCTTTCCTTCTTTCCTTTCTTCCTTCCTTCTCTCCCTCTAGTCCCCGTCCCAGGTGCGGAGCCGCGCACCGCCCCGCCGTGCAGCAGCGCACAGTCGTGCCGCCGGCTCGGGACGGGACGAGCACCCCCAGCCCTGCGGCGAGAAGATGCCTCGGCCGCTCCCTGCCTCCTCCGCCGGTGCCCCCAGCGCGTTTCCCCGGCGCGGCAACGCAGCGGGATCGAAACGCTGTGTGCGGAGCTGCCCGCGTCGCTTCGCGTGCTGTTGTGTTTTGCCGTGTTCTACCCGCCCCGCTCTACTGCGAGGGCGTCTTCCGAGCGGTTCCGCTTAGGAGGAGAGTATTTGAAAGTTTCACCCTTAGTTTTGGTAGCTTGCAGTAACGTCAGGCTCTTCCAATTTCGTTCTCTGTTAGTAGCTCGCTGGTTTGTTAATAGTTTATGTCAAGCCAGCCAGCTGTTAGTACCCCGCTAGAATTCCTTGATAAGAGAGGACCTGGGGACAGCTTGCCAGCCTGAGATCAGTGGAGGTCAGCACTGCACACATGATGTCTGTTCCGGATTCCTTCTTCTTAAGGAAACACAAAGGCTGATCATCTGTTGTAAACTTTTTCCTTCCTGTTCCTGTCACTTAATATCTGCCTGCCTGTCTGCCCACACACGCTCGCTGTACGATAAGGCATGTCTGTGTTTTGCACGTCAGGAGCGAGCCCCATGGCAGGACAACTCGCAGCCGCTCCAGCTGTATGCCTGCTGCTTATGAAGTGATGAACTAGTGTGAAGCGCAAGCGATCTGCTCGCAGCTCCTCTTCGAATGTTGAATTTAGCAGGGTCTCTTAAGAGTTCTTTCATATATTATTTCCTACAAGGCTAAAGAGAAGCATTTCAGTCTCTCTTGTCTTGCCTTGTCCCTCCAGTTTGCCTTTCCCCCAGGCTGGGGGAAAACATGGCGCTGTATAGAGCTTGCAAATAAGCAGTAGTTTGGAATATGTAGAAATGTATGTGAGACTTCGAGTGTGAGCTTCGACAATTCTGGAAAATAAGAGGGGAGCTTGCTTCTCTCGACGGGTAGAGGGCAGTAGAAAGTCCAAAAAGCTGTTGCAGACAGTGTCCAAAACCTGGCCTTTAAAATGATACACTGTTTTGAGAGAACTAGAACCGATCTTTCTTAGTGGGCAGCTGACCTTGCATCTGGCACAAGTTTTTACTTGCTGCTCCATTCATCTCGCTTAGGGGTAAAATGCGGACCACAGCAAGCCAGGGTGTCCTGTCTGTTGTTGCTTGCACAGAAGCAGCTGCAGGGTTAAAAGCCCTATTAAAGAATTAAAAATGCTTCTAAACTGCTTTGAAGACATTCGTTGAGCCCATGAGGTTAAATATGTATGTTGCTGTAGTCTCTCCTTTTTATTTTTTTCTTTAGCATGTATTGGAAAAGTTGTTTTCAAACAGAAAACTACTTCAAAAGACCTACCTAGTTTTGAATGGATTTTTGGTTTTACATGTTTTTAAGTAAATGCTTGGCTTGAACTTCTGTCCTCTTGTTTAAAAGATCTGAAAGCCTCCAGTCTTTAAATGTCTCAATGTTCTATCTCCCCTGTATTGGAGTATGGATGTCTCTGGCAGTTTAGGAGTATTTCATTCCTCTGAAGTGATGCAATCTGTACGTTGCTGTAGTTCAACTCTTAACACGTCCCATCTACCGTTGAAAATAGTATGAAGCATTTGTTGGCAAGATTGCATTTCAATTAGTGTTGTGGTTAGAAACTAGTTCCAGCTGTCCCTATAGGAGTAGTTGGGGTGATAAGCTATCTATTTAATTTTCATTCTCGTAAATGAAAAGTAACTGAGCTGAACTGTCAGCCTAACAAATAGTACTGGAATACCTATTAGGGAATTGTCAGGAAACTGCCTCATTCTAAGCAACAAAAGCAAAGTCATTATTTCTTACAGTGTGTATTGTGTATGAGTGGTAGCGGCAAGGGGGGGGGAACAGGACTTAATGTGCTGCTTCTGTTCTCTGAAATAAAGTTGATTAGCTCTGTGTTTTTAATTGGTGTGACTGAAACTGTTGGGCAGTTCACCAACACTCATGAAATGGGCTGGGCTTGTATACCTGATGAATCAATTGCACTGAGTGATAGTTTTCATTTATCTGCTAGCAGAATAAAGGCTGCTTTCCTTTTAATACTGTCTATTGGGAGTGAAAGCCCTATGTTACATACTCTAGTTCAGGGAGGGGGAAATGGAGGTGACTTACAGAACCGTGTGAATAGAAACTGGTATATTTACTCTCCTTACTATCTCTAGTCTTCTCTTTAACTGCAATTTTTTACACTGAAATGACCCCTACTGGTTACAGTTATAAGCTTTTTTTTATTGTTATTTTGAGTCTTGAATGGGATGCTTTGGCTTAGTTCAGGGTACCAGCACATAATGGATTGAAAAACTCCAAGCTGTAATGACACAGGTAAAAATACTTGCCTATTAATTTGATAGTAGTATTACATAAAAACATTGTAAGAACACTCGGCATAAGTGAGCTCTGTGACACCTGATGGAGAAGTTTCCATGGAATCTGTCAGTAATGGCCATTGTTTTTGTTAAGCCAGCACTTACTGATGAAATCTGTTATTAATTCTTAAGTTCTTTTCTTCACCCTTCTAAGCGCTGAGGAAAGCGCTCAGTCTTCTCACTGCATTAAGTGTGCAGGTCTTTGTGTAGTTCTAAGGCTCAGCCTGTGGCATTATTGTGCTGTCTGTAAATGCCTTTCCTGCATTTATTATACATTCCTGTAGTTGTGTTCTTGGTAAAGAATAATTCTTAGATCAGCTTCTCCAGACACGGCTGAGTACTTCTTGAAGGGTGACCTTGAGAGGCTTCGAACACCTCCAGCTTCTGTTGACTTTCCAGGAGAGCTGTTGGGTTGGTTTGTTGAGGTGTCAGGAGCACAGAGCTGGCTGAAAGCCAAACCTTCTGGCATCAAAAAACTGTGAGCTCTGTGCAGGGACTGCTCTTGTTCTCTGTGTTTGAGGGAAGACCCGAAGCCACCTCCAAATTAGACAAGAGCTCTCCAGAAACACATTGGCCTTGGCTTCTGCATTAGCCAGGCTTTGCAGAGCTCTGTCTTTCTGGAGTACGGGAAAGCCTTGGGAAAATCTCTGGTGTAGGAGTTCGGTTAGTCTGAAGGCGTTTCTTGTGATGACTTTTCTTGTCTCTGTTTCTACATTTCTTCAATTTCTGGTGCTCTTGGATGAAGAGGCCTTGTTTGCTCTGCTAAGCTATTCTAAAGCATAACAGAAGCGTATGAAATAACACTGAAAATGAGCTGAAATTAGTTCATTTTTAACTGTGTAATAAAAGCATGACTAGTTTTTATGATACATTTGAAATGGAGAGTTAAATGCTAGTTTTACTGTACACTTAAGTTCCTTTAAGAATATAATTCCATACTAGACATCCTTATACAGGTTTGTTTTTTATTAAAGAATCTTCAAACTTGCTAGATAGGTTGGCCAGAACTACTGAAATGATTGCTTGTAATTTCTGTACCCGTAGGCATGTTTGCTGTTCTAAGTACCCTCTAGCTGATGCAAGAGCACTTGCTTAATTTAACTCCTTGCATAGTATTTAGTCAACCCGAATGTCATTTGACTGACAGGTATATTTTACAATAATTACTCCATCCGTATGTTTCAAAAAATGCCTGCCGCTTCCCATCCTTTCATTGCACTGCCCCCACAAGTATCCTTAATCTCAATGAATAAAATGTAGAGCGGCATGCAGAAAGAACCACGTGTTTCTGTTTTAATAAACTAAACACTTTGCAGAAGTGACCTATGAAATGTCTCATGACTTGCAAACTGCTTTCATTTGAGAGTTCATTTAATCCACAGGGAACATAAACATGGAAATGGTGAATTCAGAGTTTTGCCCAAGATGTTATGTGACAGATGTTCTATACAGCCTTGCAGAATTACATTTTCGCTCTTTAGTGTATATGAATATAATTTGGAAAATGACTAATGCTGACATAGAAAGCTTGTGTGTACAGAGAAACCAATATAAACTAAGATGTGAAGATAACTTTGTATAAAGGCTATCTAGATTAAATTCCACATAAGCATACAGATGATTAAAAGGTGGTCCCTGAGGGAATTATCTAAGCAGACTAGTTTTGCCATGTTTGCAGGATGCAAGCCTTCATGTATGAAGATGAATGGAAGAAGCAGTTCACACCTTTGCCAGGGGCAATATTCATTCTCCAGCAGTTTTCACAGGTTGTTCTAGGTACTTCTGAGTTTGCAGATTGTGTTGATGCCATATAGGTAATGAGAGTGTAGTGTCTTACAGCCAGAAAACAAGCAGAATTGGATGTAGCTGGGGACAGGAAGAAGGGCACTGGCTCACAGGCATGCTGGGATTCTCACATGGTGGCAAACTTCTGAAACTGTGTTCTTTGTCTAGCCTGCATTGGTACTGATATTTTCCTTGCAATAGAGTAAATATGGAGGTTGTACTACAGCATATGCATCTCCTCTCTTCAGGCTTTTGTTTTTGTTTAGTCTGTTTCTCCTTCCAGAAAAGCTGTTCCTCAGAGTGGCTGAGGTTGGAGGGGACCTCTGGACCTCCAACCCCCACCCAGCTCGAGCAGGGCCACTCAGAGCAGCCTGTCTAGGACCTTGTCCAAGAAACTTCTGAAGATCTCCGTGGGTAAAGGCTCCTGCTATGTTCCAGTTTGTGTCTATTGCTACATGTCCTGTCACTGGGCACCACTGAAAAGAACCTGGCTTTGACCTCTTTGCACCCTCTCTTCAGGGATTTCTGTACATTGATGAGATCCCCTCCAAGCCTTCTCCAGAGAAAGCTACTCCAGTCTTTTTTGTTATCTAGGTGGCCCTTCACTGGGCTCTCTCTTGTGTGTCCATGTCTCTCTTGCAGTGGGCAGCCCAGACCTGGTCA